AAAGAACTAATTTTCCCAAAAATGTGAAATGTCTTTAGTTTAAGATGGTCTTAATAGCTCAAGTTATGGAGCTGCATTTTTTACAATACTCATTCAACTAAATTGTGAACACTGGGCTCCGTTTTTTTTCAGTTTACACAAAGGAAATGGAAATGTACAGTATGAAAATGAATGAGCTTGAAAGATGCTCATTCATTGTTTTGATTTCTGTTTTGAAATAAAGTTTAGTCTTAATGTTTTTTGTTTTAAATGTTTGATATTTTAACCGAATTTTAAGTGTTTCAAAATTATTCATTGGAGATTTATTTATATCTTTATCACAGATACTTACAGATGATTTGTGGATGATTTAAATGTGTTTTGTTTAATCACTAGAGTAAAATGAATAGCAATGGAAGCAAAACAAGATTTACAATCCAGAAAAGTTTAGATTACAGATAAAGGAGTAAAGAGAAATTAACAGTCATTCCAAGGCTTGGAAAAAATGTTAAGGGAAAATAAAATGAAAATTTATCATTATTCCTAGTAACATAGCACTTACTGGATTTTTCCTATCATTCTTATAGATCATGGATTGATTTTCAGTAAAAACACTTGACTGTATTTCTAAGTCCAAGCTGAAAACTGACTTTCTGTAAGAAAGCTAGAGTATGTAGGCTGATCTCTCTGATCAGAAAAAGCAATGCCTTCTAAACTGTTGTTCCAGTAGGTGTGGATTGTGTTTGGACAGTTGTGCATCTGTTGATGTGGACAATCCAACCCTGTGCTGAATTCTCTAATTTACTTTAAACAAAGTGAGGTAGGAGTCCTGGATCAGGTTCCTCTACACCAGGGACAACCTCCCATATAGTTACTATCTAACTTGATCACTTGAAATGATCAAGTGATCTAATGATCAATGATCTAATAAGATCACTTGAAATGTGGTAAACAGTGGATAAGCATTTCATTGACATTTTATCTGACAGGAAGTCCAGTTCTGTATTTTGAGTAAAACAGTACCATTTTATGTTGTTCTTTCTTTCTGCTGGTCCAACAAAATCCAGTTTATGCTGTTTTAAAATATGTTTTCTGCTGGTTAAAATATGTTTTCACATTTAAAGCAAACATGAAGGAGGTTTGAGTATCAACACTTAATTAAAAGGAAAGATTTGATAATTAGTGCTGGCAAAACAATTTATGCTGCTACAAGATATGAAGCCATCAGACCTGGTATAGCATACATTGTTTGCCACATTTTCTACTAATTCAAACCAGATAGAAAATGGTGCTTTCTTCCTCTTTTCTTATGATTGGTTGTTTGGTTTAGTGTGTTGTTTTTTGTTTTGGTTTGGATTTTGGTTTGTTTGTTTTAGTATTGGCTAGAAGAATATAGTTTCTTGCCAAAGCTGAGCTTTTTTATGCATTGAGGAAGGAAATATCAACAAATAGGCTTTCTGTATTGGTTTCCAGCAGAGCTGAGAGGAAGTAATCCCAAACCTATCCCTATTGCATCTGTTTGTAAAGGTCTCGGCATGGTGAAGAAGTCTGACTGTAATAGTTTATTAAAAAATGGTAATTTAAGAGCATGTAATCATTTTCCACAATTATAAATCAAATGCTCAAAATAAAATGACTACTCTGTTATAGAATATATTTCAATGTCCTTGTTTTACTGTTGTAAATATATCAGAATAAGATTCATGGTTTCTATTTGAGCAACTCCGGTATAGAAACTAAACTCCCAGATAAGAATATAGAACCAGTCCTTCCTACAGTCTGGTCCAGCATCTAAAGGAAAATCAGGCACATCTTTCCACCTAGCTATTCAGACTTTATATCATCTCCCTATTCAGTTGTTAATAGTGAGGAGGAATAGCTGATCTTTTCCTAGACTTGGATTAAGTGGCAGTACCAAGCTATGTTTGATTCACCCTTTTGCGGAATTTACCAACTACTGGAGGATAGGAAGCATGTTTATTGTGTACCTTGAAAAAGGGTAAACTTTATTTCTGAGATTAAATTTGCAGCCTGTGAAATCATATTCCACTTAGGCATCAATTTTCAAAGAAAATTGACTGCAAAGCAGCAATTAAAATTGCTGTCAGGTTTTACATCTGCCTCTGACCTGCTGCCAAATAGAAGGCTTTAGCATTGTATTTTCTTGTTTTAAGCAAAGTTACTCTCTTGTTGCTGTATTAAAGATGCATTCAGACAGAAGAGTGCTGAAGTACAGTATTCATTCTGCAGCTGAGCTGGCACAGTGTTTAAGAAACAGAGCGGTTACTAGGAGATCTAAGAAACCATAATTCAGAGCAGTGCTTAAGCCTTTCTAGAGCCTGCCTCTGCCAACATTAGCAGGTTCCAAGTGAAAAAACTCAGAGCTGCTTTCTTCAAGCCCATTCCCAGCCCTGCCACCCCACCCCCAGTCAGCCTCAGGCACGTGTACATTACTGTTGTGCACTACTTGTTAAGAAGTGCAATTGGTTTAAAATATTTAGGCCAAAGTAAGAGTACTGCACAAAAAGCAGCCGTGTTCAACGTTCAAGCCAAAGGAAACTGGTGTCAGCAGCACCACTGCATTCAGCAGCAGTGCTGGACTTGGTATCTTTAAATGTAGCTGAGCTGTGCAACTCAGCAGCTGAAGGTAGAGGATTCAGTGGCAGCCCTTCCATTACAGACAATGGAGCTTGTTGCAGCCACAATTTTACCAAATGTCACCTTGGTAGTATCTTTATTTTCTTTGTGCTGAATGTAAGGAGAAACAGTCCAAATGCTTGCCAGCATAGCTTGGCATCATAACCACAGAAAAGGACTGTGCTGTAGCCCTCGGGGAGGTGGGGACCAGCTAGAAAGCATCTCAAGTGCCACTGTTTCATCTCAGGTTGCAGGTCACAGTGGGATCACTCTGTCTTCACCCCAGAATCAGCCTTCATCTACAGATAAGTAACCTGCATGATAAATGCTTGTAATATGATTATTTTAATAACCATTTATAAATAACCTAATTGTACAGCCAATAATCTATTTTCTTTGCCTAATGCTTATCCCACTACGGCATTACTGGGTTTAAGAACAGAATTACACTAGTATTTCCATGGTTTCTGATATTGGCAACTTTTTAGACAATCAGTAGCTGTTCTGCTTATTAGCGCTAATACTACAGAATTGCCATAGAAATATTCCTGCACTAACTCCATGCTGGGAGTGGGAGAAAAGGTTGTCAACATCCTACTTCAACCTTGTTGTTAGAAAACATTATTAGAGTTGCAAAAACACTAAGTAGTTAAATTTGCTCTTTGTATTTATTTAGTAGTTAAGGGTCTGTAGTCAGAACTGGAACCTCACTGAGATGTTATTTAAGCACATGTTGTTTGGATTTCTTTGCGAGGCTACATTCTACAAAATGGCAAGAGAATACAGCAAATGATAAAGAGATTATGGGCAACAGAGGATAAGAGTTATCGTGTATTTCTGTCTGACCTGATCTTTTCTGTAGAGCATTATACTTTCTTCAGCTTTTGATGTATTTTGTGATTTAAGAGAAAGCATGGGGAGAAAAATCCTTCTGGGTTAAACATCTAGAAACTAATTGTCTACTGTGCACAACCAGACTTAGAACTCAGCTGATCGCTTCCATTTCCATAGATGTCCTATTTCCACACAGCTAGTGAGTAACTTTCAGCAATCCATGATAAATTCCTGCCCCATTGAAATTCAATTCCAAAGTCAACTTAAAGTCATGCTACTAGGTTTGTGGTATAACCAGACAGAAGCTGAAAAATAATGACAAATACATTGAGATTAATCTTAGATTATAATAAAAAGATTAATTCATCATCATGAATTAAAGCAGTGCTTTCAGAAACTGAACAGATGGCTAAAAGAAGACATTGTCATATTGTCTTTTTTCCCATAAAAATACTAGAACCTGTCCTGCCATTAAGACAACAGGACCAAAGCATGAGATATACACAGTTCAGTGTGTAGCTAGTGTACTGACACTTAGATTTCCAGATGGTTTATAATGAAGACATGATGTGTCTTTATTTCTAAATTGTCACTTCAAAGCTATTAAAGCCTTAAATGTCTTTTGAGTAATCAAGAGGAAAGCTGCATAAAGTGAGCTCATTTTTCCCTGTCACCTATTAAAAAATCTACTGTAACAGACTTAAATGTATCTTTGTTAAATTTTATAGCTAAAATTAAAGTGAAATAGGATTAAAGAAATAGAAATATGTCTAATAATATGAAACACATTAAATGTGCTTGCACATAATCAACTAGCTGTTTTATTATAAACCTTTTCTTTGTTATGTCTCAGCAAGGAAGATTGTGGCAGGGCCTTGAACATACCAGAGGGCTCTAATTCCCATGAGAAGCCTGTAACCATCTCTCTCTGAAGCTCCCCTCTGCAATCTTTTCCTCTCATTGAGTGCTTGGCTGCTTTCATTTAAGGTCAGCTCATTTTCTCAAGCAGAGCAGAAAACTCTTGCTGCTCATTGGAGGGTTATCAGCCATTTCTTCTTCCAAATATCTATATTATTAGTGCCTCAAAATTGCATCTTCGTTTTTTAATTAAAAGTAAATTTATATTCCAGCAAGTTCTTTTGTAGGTCTCACAATCAAGTCAACCTAAATGATTCGATCAAGATCTTTCTGAGTAAAGGACTCGTGATAAAGCTTTGCAGTAAGTTCTTAGCCTCTCTGAAACTGAAAGCTGCATTTGACAGGAGAGATCAGGTTTACTTCAATAGTGTTTGCCTGAATAGATTATAATTAGAACACTGATGAACACTAATGTGATCCGTTGCCTTCTGAAAAGCATTTGTGAATCTTGTGTTAAACTATCCAGTTCTCTGGTGTCTGAATTTTTTATATCTTAACTTCTGCGTTACAGCAAAGGTAGACATTTTACTGGCTTTAAGCTTTTTCTGACAACTATAATCTGTGAAACCTTGTAGTACAATGTTGGCAAGTCCATGTCCATGGTTAAAAGTTATTAAAGTTTAATAAGTTAATTAACTTAATAAAATCTTTATTTAGATTTCTGTCGCGCACATACACATAAGCACTCTATATCATCTCATCCATTAATAATAAGTTACAAAAAGCACTCAGGTTAGAGTAATTTCAAGCTTCCTATCCACAAGTTGTTACATTTCATTTAGGGAAAAACACACAAAAAAAAATTCATTTCAGTTTTGAAAAAATCAGTAAATACTAAAAGGTCAAACTCGATCCTGATTAATACATTTGCAAGGCACTTAGCTTTGTTTTGCAGTTCATATCTAAAGTGTTCACACTCTGGCAGGTATGGAAAATATGTTGGTATCTTACTTTATTCTCATATTTTTTAGTGATGATAATGTGCATGGATGTCAGACATACCACAAAGCTGCCATTACCACAACACTGAAGGGATGTGTATAGGGCTGGGAAACACGATTTAGAGTTCTGGCTATGCCATTTGTAATTACTTGGTTTTGGCAAATCCTTGCTCTGTCTAAATTTCTCTGCTCAAAACGTACACAATCAAAGTTGCATTCACCTTTACTGCATGTAAATATTTTACGTAATTCTGACATTATAAAGCACTTTGGGAAGGCAAAGTGCTATTGCAGGCTATAGCAATGCAAGCTGCATCAATCTTTACAATACCACACCTTCAAACATTTTGCTTATTGATGGTTCTGTGATATGGAATGAGTAGAAAAAGCACAGTGGTTTTCCACCTGGTCTGCATGTTTGAAGTATGATGTGTATCTGTAGTGGGTTAACCTTTGCTGACCAGCAGGTGCCCACCCAGCTGCTCTCTTACTCCTCCTCCTCAACAGGATAGGGGGAGAAAATAAGAAGAAAATATCATAGATCAATGTAGAGACATTTAGGTTGGAAAGACCTCTAAGATCATCAAGGCCAATCACTGACCTAGCACTGCCAAGTCTACCACTACGTGTCCCTAAGCACCGTATCTACATGTCTTTGGAATACCTCCAGGGATGGTGACTCAACTACTTCCCTGGGCAGCCTGTTCCAATGCTTCACAACCCTTTCAGTGAAGACATTTTTCCTAATATCCAACCTAAACCTCTCTTGGTGTAACTTTAGGCCATCTCATATACAGAAATAGAGAAGACTCACATAAGGACAGGCTGATGATTTACCAGCTACTGTCATAGCCAAAACAGACTTGATTTGGGGAGCATAAATAACTTATTTCCAATTAGTAACAAAGTAGAACAGTGAGAAATAAATACAAAACTAAAACCACCTTTCCCCCAACCCTACCTTCTTCAAAGGCCCAACTCTACTCCTGATTTTTTCACCTCCACCTCCCAGTGCAGGGGATGGGCAATGGGCATTGCAGTCAGTCCGTAATGCTTTGTGCTGTTCCTTCATCGTCATGCTCATTCCCCTCCTGCAGCATACAGTCCTTCACAAACTGCTCCACTGTTTTTTGTAAACTCTGGATTCAACAAACATTGAGCAATCATCCCTGTTTGCTATCAGACTTGTTTAAATGATAGCTAATTGATAAGAATAAATACTGTCCAGATGTTGAAATGCTTCTTGACTTTTTGTCAAATGTTCTTTACAGGCATAGCTGGTTGCTACCATGTCAATAATGTGGTTTTGGAAAATAATTCACTGCAAAAACACCTCAGTATGACATGATTAAATATTGAATATACCAATATTGGAATCAGTATTATCTAAGATCTTTGATGGTGACAAGGATGGTGACCGTGGGATTGAGTGCATGCACAGCAAATTTGCAGATGACACCAAGCTGTGTGGTGTGGTTGACACACTGGAGGGAAGGGATGGCATCCAGAGAGATCTGAACAGGCCTGAGAGGTGGGCCTGTGCATATCTCGTGAGGTTCAGAAAGGCCAAGTACAAAGGCCCTGCACCTGGGCTGGGGCAATGCCAAACATGAATACAGGCTGATGAATGGATAGAGAGCAGTCTTGAAGAGAAGGGCTTGATGATACTGGTTGATGAGACGCTCAAAGTGAGGTGGCAGTAACCATGTTATGGGCTGCATCAAAAGCAGCCTGGCCTGCAGGGACAGGGAGGTAATTCTCCCCCTCTACTCTGCTTCTTGTGAGACTCCTGCATTCAGCTCTGGGGCCCCCAGCACAAGAAGGACATAGAAATACTAGAACAAGTTGGAGGAGGTTTCACAAAGATGATAAAGGGATTGGAGAATCTCTGCTATGAAGACAGACTGAGGGAGTTTGAGTTGTTCAGCCTGGAGAAGAGAAGACTCCAGGGAGACCTTAGAGTGGCCTTTTAATACCTAAAAGAGGCCTAAATGAAAGATGAGGAATGTAGTGACAGGACAATGCATACTCATTTTGAAGGGAAAGAGGGTAGATTCAGTTCAGTTATAAGAAATTCTTCACTCAGAAGGTGGTGAGGCACTGGAGCAGGCTGCCCAGAGAAGCTGTGGATGCACTGTCCCTGGAGGTGTTCAAGGCCAGGCTGGATGGGGCTTTGGGCAACCTGGTCTGGTGGGAGGTGTCCCTGCCCATGGCAGGGGGTTTTGGAATTAGATGATCCCTTAAAAAAAACAAAAAACTTCTGTGATTCTATGATTAATCTCTCTACTCATAAGTTTCCAAACTCACAAGAGAGTTTTGAGGCTTGATAGTGATGCTTAGTCATCAGCAAACATTGCCTAGCTATAGCTAAAAAAAAAACAACAAAAAAAAACAACGTATTTTGATAAGCCACTTAGAGAGTTAACATGATATCTTCTACAGAGCTAAAGCCTGTGAACAAAAGGCAATAGATTTAGTTTTTGTCATGTCTGAGCACATACCTGCCATTTCACAAATACACCACAGGCCAATGTTCCAGTTATTTGATCTTATTTGCAGCTCCCTGTGGAACTGTAGAATAACCTGAGTCCAGCGTTCTGTATCAGAGTAAAATAAGATGTTTAAGCATACCTTTATGACTTCTTTGAACTGTGGTTTGCATTCTTTCCGGAAAGTATTGGTGCTATGATGAAAGGGCCTGGAGTCTGATTCAGAGATTTTAAGATATCGTCCCTTTCTCTTTTCTTCCTTATATCTAAAGGTGTATTGACAAAATCTAACAATGGGCATTGTATAATCACAAATCTTGCGCCAAATCCTACATATCCTTGAGATTTTTTTTCATTCCGGATACACAAAACTTCCTTTACTACAACTTGTGATTCCTGCTTATTGTCCTTTATTTGCACACCTCTGTGGAAATTTTGGTTCTATATTCCCTAAAATCCCATTCAGCCAGGTGAAGACTTAACCTTCTCATCTCCAGGCCTCTCCTCCTCAAATGCTCCCTTGCCTTAGGCATACAGTGCTTTTCCCTTCTCTTTATTCCAGTTTGTGCTGGGAAGCCCAAAATTGAACAGCGTACTCCAGATGTGACCTTCCAAATGCAAAATAGGGAAATTTCCTTCCCCTGACCTGCTTGGCTGCCCTCTTCAATCATCCCAGACACAGATTTAAGCCCTATATCAGTAGGAAATAAATAACACTATTTGAAGAAAGGAAGAATGTTTTTGGTTTTCAGCTGCTGAGATTTTTTTTTTTTTCTGTTTGCTACTGTGATAAAATTTAACATGTATGCTTCTGCTTTCCTGAAGTCCACGAGATGGTGCTAGAGGATAATGAATTACAGTTTACAGCCCATAGGCATGTTAACAGCTGCTGTATTTAGCACATGAAATTTGGCAGAAAACAATGAAGAAAGGAGCTAATAGAGAATCTGCTCATCTATGGCTGTTCCTAAACGAAAGAATATGAGGATCAGCGTTTAAAAGACAGGAATTTGGCCTGCCTATGATTCCTTCGGTACGACAAATTATGGACGAATAGAAACAAAACCAACTTGACATTTAAAAAAATATCTCTATTAATACACACATTATAGTTCAAAATAAATGCCACATATATCTGAAAACAATATGGAAGATAGAATAGTGTTTTGTCATAATAAGTAGAGAATTCTGGTATATATACCGATATACCTATTGTAATGGTAATGTTATGAGATCATCTTATCTAAGAAAAAGGATGACTTCAGACAGGGAATGACTGGAGGGGTATGAACTTTACATCAGAGAAGAGTTGTGAGAGAATCTTTGTCTATCAGTTTATTGTATTACTAACAGAAAGAGTAGAATTAATAGAAACGTATTATTTAAAAGATTTCATTTAATATAAAATGGGTAATGAATTACAGGTGTTAGCACTATTGTAGCTGCATTCAAGTTAGGTTGTTATATTTTGTTTAAACTCTAAAAGCATTCATTAGACTAACAATTTCTAATTTTGATTTCTAGTTCTTCTGGTTACCCATAACAAAGTTGGTATGTAACAGCGTTAGATGGGCATACACTTCATATCTAGCAAGGTTGGGTATCAGTCTCCTGCTAGAATATAAAACAGTTGTTCCTAAACAGACACTTTAATGCAGTGACTCTTTTACCAGTCTTCAGTCTTTTTTTCACTGTAAATGACCATTCCTTCCTCCAAGGATGACAGAACTCTGCTCTTTGGAAAAAAAAACTACCGAATAGATCCTGGGAAGATATGGTCACTTCTTTTGCGTACATTATTTGGCTAGATTTTCTCAGATTATATAGCATAAGAATCACTTTCTTTAGGGTTAGTGATGCTCTTTTACAAGTTTTATTCTAACAAGTTGCAAATATTGTCAAAATAGTAGAGGTCCATAAGACTACATATGAAGAACACTTGCATTAAATTGTTCCCCATCAAATAGAACGCAGTATTTTATTTAGAGAACAGCTTTTGAAGAGCAGGATATATATATATATATATATATATATATATATATATATGTTAATATTGTAATATTTATCATATCTGCAAAGCAAAATTTAAGAATATCAGTACTGTTTTGAAAATAAACTACAAAATTATATTTCATATTCAACTGTTAGACACCTTGGATAAATGTTTTTCATACGATAAAGTGTTAAGTGGCTATATTTCAAAAAGACTCACCGGCTTTTGATTCCTATTTATTTTAAAATAAAACTAATATATGCTTTCCACTTCACAAAATAAAAGTGTATCTGCCACTCGTTCAGATTAGTGGGAATTTGAAAATGTCAGTTTACAGATTTTTGTATGTGCAAAAAAAGAGAAGTCCAGAAAAGAGCAGTATCCATAACCTATCAATCTGTTTTTCTGTATGCTTTTATAGGTACAGAGCTGCCTGAATTTATTGTTTTCCGGAAAAAAAAATCATATGACTTTTTTATCACATATCTCAAATCTAAAACTTTACAAAGCTACCACTGCTACTTTCCACAAGGGCTTCAGAATGTTAAAAAGTTCTTACTTTTAAGGTAGATGGTAAAGTACAACAATCTGCATATAACCATAATTTTAGTTAACTCCAAAATAGATTCAATGTTCACTGAGATCAGACTTGCTTTTTTGCTGAAATCAGCAATGATAATGTATTTGCTCAGCATGCTTTGTACATGTTTTATGATGAGTTGTAGTAGTTTTATCAGCGTAACATCTGCAGGTCATGTTCTGCAATTGAGAAATCACAATCATCCATTTACTAATTGCCAACAGTTAGTGTCTCAGCTAGTGAAATTATTGTACCTGATAGACAGTTCAATTGATTCTTATAGTAATTCTTATAGTAATAAATAGTAAAATTTATTCTTAAAGTAATAGATCATACTAAAATAGCTTAGTTTTAGTGTAATGTATGCTGCAGTCAATATCTGGCAGTCAATATCTGTGTGTGTTTTTTTTGTCATTGTTTCCCACCTGCTGACTTCAGTGAACACTTAACAGATTCATAAATCATAAGTATTATCTAAGGAATATTCAAAAGCTCTCTTTTGTTCAATCAGCACTGGAAGCAGCAAAAGGATTTTCACTATTTCACTATGAGTATACGAGTCCAGCACTGAAGTTCTGCACTGCTATTAACAAAAACAAAAACAAAACAAAAAAAAATTGCCTTGCTTTAATGTTTGACTGACATTAGGATTCCTATTTCAGACATTTATTGCCTGTTATAGTTACACAGAACAATTCCTGCAATTGTAGGATTGTGTAGATTGTACACTGTTCCACTGCAACTTCTTGGCATAGGTGCATAGTGCCTATCATTCATACACATATATTCACAGTATGCATCTATCACAGATGCAGTGCATCAAAGAAAAATGCCACCAAATCACAGTGTGACTACATGTACAGCAGTGGAATACCCATTTTTAACACCTAGTAATCCTGTGCATAATTATGTCTTTATTTCCTCTTGTACTTAGGTGTTCTGTGCCTTGCAGAGTACAGTGTATGAACTTTAAGTGTTAACATCTTTCCTTTCACATTGACAGACCCCTTTAGTGCTCCTCCGGTGTCCCTGATGTAAGCACCCAGAGGTTTATTACCATTATTTCATTTAGTCATTCTGAACACAGAATTACTTTCCAGATGTTGTTATGCACTCTGCTTTGCGGCTGAAAACTTGACGGCATTTCCCCCTAGGGCTCAATATGTCAGACAGAATAACTCTCTACCTCTGTCCACAGGCATCTGTTTTGCCCAGTCAGTTTCATCAGTACACCATGACTCTGATGCTCCGTGCTCTCAGACGCTGATATTGCAGGATGGAGTGTGGGCTTACTGTGAGCTGCAGAGGCAGACACATCACCTGCCAAACCATAACCTCTTCCTTTGCTCTCCTTTAGATGAGAGATGCCTTCCTCACTGCCTTCCCACAGTCAGTCAGTCAGTACATGTATGTATGCATTTAATGACTTCCAAGTGTTTTCTTTTCAAGTTCAGGTGAGCTCATAAAAGACGTACACTTTTAAAAAGTAAAACTTTTACAATATAGAAAATTAGCTGCACGTGTATTTCATGCCTGTGGGCTTTGTATTCCATGTGGATGATTCCTTTTTCCCCTGTCTTTGAGATATGCCCTGTGGGTTTTTCCCCTTCGGAGAGAATTCAGCTCCCTAAAACTGTAACTATGCAGGTAAGATATGAAGAGACTAATTAGTATATTTTTCAGACTTTGCCATTCTCTCTTCCTATTGTAAGTACAGAAATATAGTACCCTCATGCAGAAGGATTATTCAAGAAATTATATCCCCTCCCCCCAAAAAAAGAAAAAAAAAAAAAGAGAAAAATAAGGCAAAATGGAAATTAGTTTGTCTCAACCTTTCTTCTTTCCTGTTAAATTATTGTAGGAGCTGTATGGACAGTTCGGCCACTGAAGGGTAGAAGAAATATTTTCTCTATAAGTATGACACTCTGAAGAAAAAATTTTTCTCTCCATTGGGGTCTTTGTGATCTGGCTTGCGTATATCAAGTGAGTCATCATTCACATGCAGAAAGTAATTTGTGTCTTCATAGCACTGGAATTTCACTGACTCTCCTTCACTATGCATGATGAAAAAGTGATTATCTTCGCTCAGCTATGAAAATACACAGAGTAAAGAACATAAGTTATTTTTTAAAGCCTTTAAGTTATGTTAGAAAAATTCATGTTAGAAAAATTCAAATGTTAGAAAAATTCAGGGATATTGCTAGCTTTGTATATTTTGACTGCATTTTCCATTTTTTATGATAAATTTTTGGGAAGACCTAATCATTTTGGGACAGATTCTATGGGGACTGTAAACAAAATAATACCTGCCTTCCTCAGAGGACTGGCTGCTTCCATAGCTGTATTCCTTTGTATTCCTTTGGTTTCCAAAAAGACTAGTACAGTTTCGCTCTGTAATGTACTTGCTACTGGGATAATTTAGGATTTTCATCTGGCTATTTTCTTATCTCAGACCTTCCAGGTCAGCTGCTGCTAGCAACAAAATACCAAGTCACGGTTTCTGTTGCCTATTTTGGAGTGAAATCAGAATACTAGTTACTCTTTTTTAAAAAAAGGCCTAATACATGCAATTTTCTGTGCATCTCAAGTCCACAGTACACCTTCATTTAAGATCCATCTTCGGGGACCCTATGAAGCAGGGGAGGACCCTCTGCTCTGCAGTGAGCCACTGGGGCTGGGTAACCACCGCGTGGTGTACTGTGTGGGCATGTGCTGTGCGAGCAGTTTTCTGCCATTACCAGCACAGTGTTTTAATAAATGGTGGTTGTGAACTGCTACCCTTCTGCTTCAGTTTCCTATCATTATAAGCTGTTACTATAAACCATTATTTGCTGTTACCAGCTGTTAATATTTTATTGTGTTAATAATAGCCTAATTAATAAAGGATCTTTTAGTAAATGTTGATTGTGAGCTGTGTCTCCGTAAGCTTTGGTTACAGAAATGTAAGCTGACAACACTGTATGCAACTCTTTCTGGTGCTGTAACAGCAGGCACCACAGATTCTCATGTTTCTGGTAATTCTACTGGCAGTCTTCCAAAAATAAGCAAAAATGCTAACCTTTGAGACTTATTGTTAAAAGCTAGCTAACAAAATATCACACTGCAACACCACATAGTTTTGTGATTGACCATGAGATGTACTTCCCCATCTCAGTCAACCCCTCCCACACTTTTTTGTTCTGTGGACAATAGAGACTTGATTAATCACACCAGAAATTATTTCTTGTTCACTGCATTCTTTCTAGAAGGTTTATAAGAATCTCACAATTCAGGCTTAACTATGGTTTGGCCTCTTTGTCTAATCAGATGTGAACCAAGTGCAGGCTGCTGATTTCTCCTCACTGAAATGAGTAACGTATTATTTTCTACTTAAAAGCTTCAGCAAGAAGCTATGATGTTCACTGGTTGCCTTGTTAGGTTTGTAGCAAATAGGTTCTCAGAATTAATTTTTAATTTTAATTGTTTAGAAACTACAGTGATGACTAGGTCTTGACAGGAAACACTTACTTTTTTTTTTTTTCTTTCTAACTATGACCCAAAACTGGGATCTATCAAGACTAATTCTTTTCCTATTAACAGCTCTATAGAAAAAAAAAAAAAAAAAAAAAAAGAAAAGAAAAGAAAAGAAAAGAAAAGAAAAGAAAAGAAAAGAAAAGAAAAGAAAAGAAAAGAAAAGAAAAGAAAAGAAAAGAAAAGAAAAGAAAAGAAAAGAAAAGAAAAGAAAAGAAAAGAAAAGGCATGTTTCTTATAAAAAGCTTATGATAAAAGTTTTACAAGAATGAAAAATGTCTCTGATACTTTTTATCATACAAGGAGAGGGGCTAGAAGTTGTCCTAAATTTTCTAAGCCTCATTACTTTCTGATTCTAGGTAGAGCCAAATAAATTTCTGAAAAGTACATCAGTAGGAACATAAACTGAAGGACCCAAATGGATTTTCCAGGTTCGTAATGCTGGAGACTGGTTAATTAATTATACAATAAACAAACAAACAAACAAACAAATAAATAAAAGATGTGTAGCTCCTACCTTTGAAAAAACATTTCAGAATGTCTTCAAACAAGAAAATCAGTATAATTTGAAATTACCAGAATTCCTTTCTGACTTTGGAGAAATGTTAGAAATGATAGAAATATTAGGCTATGAATTTTAGGTTTTCAGTATTTCAGATCTGATATTATGAAGTTGTGAAAGCCATCTGATCCCAGATAGTTTTAAATGTACTTATGAAATTGGAAATACTGTATTTTTAATCAGTCTTGAATAGTATGTTGGCTGGAGCATAACCCTAACAAAAACGATTTTCTCAACATTTTCTCAGTTTTTTATTTTCTGTGGGTTATGATACCTGTTTAATATGTACCATATAGCAATTAAAGTAATTTCCTTTCTGGGCTCACAATGTTTTATCATTTCTGTCTAGAGAAGAACTAACAAAATCAAACTTTGGTCACCAAAATATGTGAAGAATCAACCTGGCTACCAGTATTCAACACACAATATATTTCTCCAGAATTATATTGGTTTACTGATACCAAATTCACTCTGAAAGTACTTCTGGGACTACTTACTTTTAAATTCTAATTTCTATAAATGTTTAGTACTCTATACTTTGTGGTTTTATTCATACGGTAAGTTTTTGACTGCTGGATTCACTATTCTTTAAAAACATCATTATTCTTGTAATTTGACTCTTCTAGATTGTGTCTAAGGAGTTGAACCAGATAAAAACTACTTCAGATCTCCCTGCATTTTACAGAAGCACAATAATGCTGGAAACATATCTCTGTCTTTCACGTGGTATTGTAAGCTTAGGTATTTTTCCTGTAGACTGCAGGATCTATTGGTGTACACAAGTCAAGTCAAAAGCAAGGAAAGGTTTTTCTTATTTTTCCTTTTCTGAGGAACGTTCTAAAAATAAGAATGTAAACAACTCATCATGTAACAACAGCAGAACCACATTTAGTTGCACTTTTTGTACAGCTATGTTTGTATATCCTCTCTCTCATAAATTCGTTTCTATTTGGTTGATCATGATTGTATACCTGTTCGAAGTCAGGATCTTCGTGCTTGCATGTTTTCCCGTTGCGTCTTTTCACTGAAGGATAATCTGGCTCTGAACAACATCCTTTTAAGACCTGTATTTACAACCACGCAAATTGGTTATTTTGTCTTCACATTTTGCACTTTTTATCCACCAAATGTAGTACTAATTCCAAAGAAAACTTCCTTTGTTTACAAAGCCCACTAATGATTAAATTGTGTTAGCTGAGACATCCAAATTGTTATGTTTTGCGGTCAGTGATCTCTCCAGATTTTTTATGTATTTTGGAGACAGTAAATGTGTGTCACATCATTTTCAGAAAAGAACTGCTTTTGAAGATACCAAGAAAGATAACCTTGTATAATCCAGCATTTTCAAAATAGGTGATTGGGAAGTAAGATCTGTTATGGCTCAATACTCCATTCTTTCTCTGATTTGGTGGAACCCATTTCAAACAATTAATCTATGAAAAAATTATCTCTGAACCATATAAAACCTTTAAAAAATAGTTGTTCTTCCAAGGGTAGTAATGAAAACTCCAGTGGGATAATGTACTATAAACTTAATTAATATATCTTACAGCACACATTTCCCCAGATAATTTCAGGAAACTGACTTTTTGGAAAGTCCTGAAAAGGAAAATAAATTAAATGTGTGAAAGATTTAATATGAGGAAGCATTTGGTAATGCAAGGCCAAGGTTAGATAAAGTCATTCTTAATCTCAGGATGACTTGTTGAAACAGAGCAGCTTGGACCTTTGGCCTACTTTAAAGGGTGAATTCCAACATAAAGTTCTTCCTCAGACAGATTTTAGTATATGTATTTATATATATATAAATATATGAAGTTATATATTTTATATATATAAAATTCTTATCACCATATGGACAAACACTCTGGAACCACTTTGATGCTCTGATGGCAGGGGTAAGAACAGGAATTGACCAGTTTATACCTCAGCACTTCAGTTTCCAACCAATTTAGAAAAAAAAGGGGGGTGGGGAGGGCACCATATGGAAATCTACCCTTTCCTGCTCTTTCCACTATAAACAAACCTTTGCAAGAATGTAGAAAATGAGAATGTTCTGACAACAGATGCAAATATTTAGAGCAGGTTAGTACATACAGCTGTAATTTCTTTTCATCACAAATATTCTTTCATTATCTTGTAACTCAGATTGAGGAGGAGAAAATAATTCCCCTCTTAAACTCATTTCTTTCCACAGCAGTAGTCAGCTACATAATACAATGATTTTTGCAATAGCTTATTTTAAGTTTCTCCATGGACATCATAGAGGAAGGCAGTCAGAACTTGTGAAATGTGATATGTAATGAAAAATGCATTTGAAAAGGGCTGTTGGGAATTGTTCTCTAGTGGGAAAGAGCACCCACAAGTAACAAATTAAAAAGCTGATTCTTACCTTCAGACAGAGCTGCTTTTTACCCTTGCACAACAGGACAAATTCGTTATGCTTTGATCTCTGTGTGAGGACCACCACAGTTTTAGACCACGTTTTCGCTAGAGGAGAACATTGTAATAAAATTTGTATCACTTTGTAAAATGAAGTGCAGCTAAAAGTATTTTGAAAATAGACAATATTCAGACTCTTTACATTGACAGGCATAGAAGCAAATAGAAGCAAATATACTAACTTGATACAGATCTCTTCTGCAAAGTGTTTAAAGTCTATGGCTTTTTGATGATTTTCTATACAAATCTAAATTTTTCTCTGTATATTTCTGATTATATATGGAATATCAGATATACATGAATACATACGAGTAATGAAGGCATATATGTATTAGTGCTTAGACATATGTGTAACACACATGTTATTATAATATAGGAAATACAGGGTTTTTTCTATTTTATGTCCTGTGTGCTCTGTAGGTCAAAATCTTTCCACTGTCAATGGGTGCAATGGATTTAATCCCTTTGGATATAATGTTGTTTTTTCATCTAGAGGAAATAACAGTATATAACACAGTATAATGCTCAGCCTGATAAACTGAAAATAAACGTTTTGGTACTTCAAAGCCTCAGACCAATGTAAGCAAAAAATAATTAAAGTTACCTTTTGTCAATTAGCATGAACATCACCTAGAAGAGCCATTGGCATTAATAACTATGCAGTGATGTTATATCTGACTGCCTTGCAGATTTATTTCAAACAGTATCAGCTGTGCTCTTGAAAGTATTTCAAGGGTACAGGTTAAGACAAACAAACAAAAAAGTAGCAGTTGATCTATATGCCCACCAATGCAACAACTGAAGATAAATTTAACAGAGATTAGGTAACTGTTAATTGAATGTTGCAGTTGAAGATATTTTTTTTTCTTGTTACCAAGGGTATCTTTCAGCCTTTGAAGTACCTTATGAATAAGCAGAATTTACTCATTCCATCTGACTGTTTTCATGTCCCTCGATCCTGTCCCTCATTTTAGTTACCCTAACTTATTCTACCTATAGTGCTTTTGTGGAAATTTTTCTAACAAATTTTGTCTGAGCCAGCTACAGCAAGAAAACAGCATAACAAACCTTGTTAAAATCCAGCATAGTGTGCTTTACTGTTTGCATATTTATTAATGCATCAGATAAATGTGGTAGAATGCAGGAGGTTTACAAGTCTTCATTTTACTTGTGTTACCAGTTCATATTGTCTCAGCTGCAATTGTCCAGCTTCAGCTGTAGCATGTAAGTAGCACATCAGTGGCAAGAGATATTTCATATCTAAGTCATAACAGTGTGCTGACTTAGGGGACTCAAACTTTCCAAATCACCTCTGAAAAAAGTGGCAAATGATCTGTCAGGCATGCAATTGCTGGTAACGAAAGTAAGGAACCGTTCCATGATTTCATAAATGTTCTTTCCACTCTTTGATAGCCTTTGGATGAATTACCTAACCTCTTGGTTTCTAAAACCAGAGTTTCAGGGACCTTTTTCATGCAAAATGAAATGCAAATGAAATGCTTTGAAATTAATGAAATACAAGATGCCACTTCTTGTTTGGGCTGTCCCTGAAATGCAAAGTGTTGCGGTTCAGGCAAATATTGAATGATCAATATTTTATACTCTTCCCTATAAATCCCCTTTTGACTATTGTTCAAGTTGCAATCCTGGACCTTGCAGCAGCCCTTTCTGGTTGAAACTGGACTATATTTGTCTTTTACTGGAATATCTTGAACCAACATATCTTTGATTGTTCTCACTCATTTCTTATGCTTACAATTATGAAAGTTCCCAAAAAGCATCTCCTCTTTCTTCACATCCTTTCTTTTTATTTTCTCTCTCCTGTTAAAACAGGTCTTTTCTAACTAAGAGCCAAATGCCAGCAATATAGCACATGTGCTTTTCTTCCAAAAAATATTGGTTCCAGCTTGTATAAACTCTACTTCCTCATATACATTTTTTCTCAGTCCAAGACCTTACTCATAACTTGCTAAGGCATGTTGTGTGGCTTTTAAGATCTCTTTCTGTGGAACACAGAAATTCACAGACCTTTCATTCTTAGCAGCCTGTCTAAATTGTCCATTTTCTAGCAACCTGACCTAAATGAATATTCGGCATTAGATATCACTTCTAATATGATATATATGAAACATTACTAACTTCTTTTCCTACCTTCAAACATCCCTTCAAAACCAGACACTAACAAAGAGAATGATACATTTTGCTCCCACATGAGTCATGCAAGTCTTACCCCTAACTGCTGGTTCATTGCTTGTGAATATGCTTAACCATGCGATATCTAAAACAGAAGACATTTAACAAAGATTTGGAATTAGACAGTAACATTCTTCAAATTAAAAAAAACTTCATGAACAATTTATTGAATTGCTTTAAAGTATCATCTGGCAAAGAATGTGTAATAGCAACTGGCATCAGACTTCATTTTTTTTGCAGGTCTCTGAATTCATGTGATCCTACTAAGACTGTATGGTTAAACTTGTATGTATACATAACCTGAGGGCTGAATTCTTAGTCTAATAAATGTATTGTTTGATTAATTATCTTTTAAAAAAGAAAATTCACCTGCCAAAATAGAGATGAGTAAGGAAATGTAAGATATTAAATGCTATCAAAGAGAAGCCCCAAAATTGTTTGGTAACAGATGTGAGGACCCTGATGCAAAATAAATCAGACTGGAAAGTAACAGGTAGCCACAGCATGGATGTTCTGGCTTTTCTCACATCAGCCTAAGTTAAGTAGTCAGCTGTGTTGAAAGCATTACTCACTTCAGCTCAAAGCCACAAACACGCAGATTAAAGTTGGCTCCTAATAGGATGCCGTCTTAACTGAATCATCATGAAATCATGAATGTATGTTTGTGTGTGGTACTTGTGTTTATGACATAGCATTTTTTTTTTTTTTTTTACAAATTGCTTCTGCTAAGCAAAACCAATAGAGATTTTGCTTCTGATCACACATCGGAAGTGCTAATTGTCTGGGTTACTTTAAAACTCAATGAAGTTATTATACATGTAAGAGTCACTTCAAAAGGTATCACTTAAATATTTTAGTTATCAGTGTAGCTGTCATTATTCACAATTTAATAGAATAAATTTTTTTTAATCTAATTTACAAATATATCAACCAAGACTTTCTATGTCTGAAGCATACATATTAAACTTCTAACTCCTGTAAAAAATGAGTTTCTGTAAGAAAGCTTCAGTAATTTAATAGTTATCCTACAAATTTCTTCTTTTTCCAGTATTTTGGTTAGAAGTATTTTGTTTTTCTCCCTTCTACCATGTCTTTGGAAAATATATAGCTCTAGGATAACTGCAATTGTTATTTGCCTCTTATTCACCAAAAGAATACCCTCTAATGACTACTTCTGTTATACTAGTTGTGACTAGTATAATTGGGGAGTCACTAACTTCTCTAATACTTCTCTAATTGGGGAGTCAATTAGAGAAACCCCGCTTTAAATAAGAGAAGAGTTACATGAAAAAATAGAACAATTCTACAAATTCCTGAATTGTATCTATTTTTCTTCATTTTTCCTAGTGTCTGATAGTTATCTTCACAAGGTGCTGCACCTGGGTTAGGGCAAGACCAGACATAAGTCCAGACTGGGAGAAGAACTCACTGAGAGCAGCTCTGCAGAGAAGGACTTGGGGGTTCTGGTGGACCAAAAGCTTAATATGAGCCAGCAGCGTGTGCTTGCAGCCCAGAAGGCCAACTGCATCCTGGGCTGCATCAACAGAGGGTTGGCCAGCAGGCAGAGGGAGGGGATTGTGCCCCTCTGCTCTGCCCTTGTGAGGCCTCACCTGGAGTGCTGCATTCAGGTCTGAGGCCCCCAGCACAAAAAGGATGTGGGGCTGTTATAAGTAGGGCCATGAAGGGGCTGGAGCACCTCTCCTAATGAAGAGAGGCTGAGAGATCTGGGGATGTTCAGGTTGGAGAAGAGAACTCTCCAGGGAGACTTCAGCCTTCCAGTACCTGAAGGGGGCTTAAGAAAAGATGGAGAGTGACTTTTTACATGATCATATAGTAATAGGACAAGGGGAAATGTTTTTAAACTAAAAGAGGGTAGATATTAGGAATAAATTATTTATTCAGAGGGTAGTGAGAGACTGGAGCAGGTTGCCCAGAGAAGCTGTGTTCAAGACCAAGCTGGATGAAGCCCTGGGCAACCTGATCTAGAGGGTGGCATCCCTGCCATGGCAATGGGTTTGGAACAAGGTGATCTTGAAGGTCCCTTCTTATCCAAACCATTGCATGATTCTTTCCCTCCATTAACAGGCAAATGTATAGACTTCCCATTAACTCTAATTGGAGTGAACAAATAATCATATTTTTTTTAAGTATAGTATGTACCTACTGTAAAGCAGAATACAAGTCTTCTTATATCACTATCAATATTCAGAAATACGCAATAAAATGTTATCTCTACTGGCTGATGGACAGAAAACATAATAGTGCATTCAACATGTTTTATGGTATTATACATACATTTGGTGAGGCTTGGTATAAAAAGCACACTACCTTCATGGGACTGTGAATCTTTGGTTGATATTTCATGATGACCATCTTCATCTAAGTCAAAATGCACTGTTTTTGAATCTTCAGTCAGTAAATAGCACTTTACTGTTTTTCGCAGACTAAACACTGGCAACAGAAAAATGGGAAAATTCCATAATAAAAATAAATAATGTGTATTTTTATACCAATCTTTGCTTGTTTATTACTACGGAAAGTAGATTTACCTTAGAACAGTATAAGCAACATATAATAGAAATTATACAGTGGGCTTAAGCTGCTGTTTTGGAAGCTTGGTGGTGGTGTCAAGAAGGAAAGCAAAGATTTCTTTGCTTGGAAGGTTACCTCAGTGAGAAGATGAGCTTTATTCTGAGCCTTCTGCAGAGTTAGCATGTGCAAAAACTTGATCTTGTAAAAGTGGCTTCCAGCTCAAGAGGTGCGTGTAAGCCTGAAGGATGGGGTACAAATAGGGGTTGTGGACAACCTGCAGATAGCTGTGTTGGAAGAAACTAATGGGGAAAGGAGGAATTTGGACAAAATAATTTTTTTTTTTAAAAAAAGAAGGGACCTGAATTTGCAATTGATTGGTGGAGAGAGGCAGAAACAGAGCAATGCTCTGTACAAAAGCCTGCACAGAGAGAGAGCAGCAAAGAGAACATAGCTGAGCCGTAAGTTTTTGAAATAGGAGAAAGTTCTGCAGCATGCTGTTTCTAGATTAATTTCCTTCCTTTCATAGATAAGTACCTGCCTGTCTCCCAGTTTTCCACTTTGAAAATTGTATCTGCATACAAACAAGAGTTTTAGGGTCCATCTGTTTACCTAAAATAGCAGCCTTTGGGGCGATACCTGGCATTCTTGCTGGAAAACAACAAACCAACCCTCCCCCCCCAAAAAAAAACCACCACAACAACAACAAAAGAAATTAAATCAAACAAAAAACTAAACTAAAATAAATAAATAAATAAAATATATTTGTAGGTAAAAGGTGTAAAAGGTGTCAGTAGGGAACTTCAGCCAACTGAATGTCCAACACCTCTAGAGGATCACTATAAAGCATAATTTGGATTATGCTAGACTGAGCATTGTTTTCCTGGAATATGTTTTCTACTTACAAATTCATTACAGAATTCAAGACATTTCTGGAACAACACAGACCTCTAGGGTAAACAACTGCTGTAAGACAAATAGTCCTTTCTTGGCCAGAAAACTTAGGCAAATCAACAGGATACTCAAATGCACTTGCAATGAGATAATACTCTGGAAAATTTTTGGCCTCACTGAAAGCTTTTATTACTCCCTTTATATTTATATAGACCTTCTGAAAAATCTGTTTCAGCAGATATTTTGAAAAATAGAGCTGTTTTGGGGAAGCTTACTTTCTGCCCTGATTAGGCTGAGCAGAAACTCTGCAAGTTCAGTGAACAAAAAAAGATAAAGGAAACATCCTTGACACACCCTGACCCAAGTCCCTCATTCCAGCACTGGCAGGTCTGACACATCCTGTGTTGGACCTTTGGCATACACATGATTGGCCCATTCATGGGCAAAGGCCTTCTCTGCACAGGTCTGGCAACTTGGGCTAGCAGACCTCCAGAAAAAGGATGGCTTTTTGTAAGAAGCAAAAGGACAGCTACTATCATAAGTAATAGAGCAAAACTTTAAAAACAAAACCAAAAACATTATGATATATCACAACAATTATATTGTAAGTATTATGGTATATTATAAGAACTAGTACAGTACAGAAAATTAAATGGTTGTTAGGCCTGCTATGACATTCACTGTCTTCCAGGGATGCATACATGTTCATTAGAAATTACCAGTCTGCATTTGGTCATATGAAAATTTTAATGTTATTCCTTTGGGAAGCCTTTTTTTTGCAGGTTGTTTTAAGCCAGATTTTTTATTTTTTTTTATATATATTTTTTTTATTTCCTTCCGGTATTTTTACTCTTGAGCTTATTACATATTAGCTGTTCCAGATACTTGATTTAGTTGAACTCTGCCTTGGGTTGGCACCATTACCTTCCCAAGATTACAACCACACTTTTCAACCACAGGAAGGAGTTACCTGATGTTCCAGAAGCTGGTGCTCTATTGCACTGCGGAGGTTTCCTTCTAGCCAGTTGTCTTGCAGAGACAGGCACTTCGTATGGCTTTTGGCGGCCTGAGCGGAGCTTCATTGTTGAAGTCCTTGAGAAACCCTGATAACCTGAATTGCCTCACCTTCCCAGCCCTAAAGCAGAAAATAGAATTAGTCACAAAACTTCATAATTTGGTTGAGAAAGAAGTTTACAAAGTGTATCGTTTCAATATGGGACATTCAACAGAAGTAAGGTAAACTCAATAAATGTGTGATTGTGTGCATGACTCAAGCCTGTGTCTTGAAAGGCAAAAATGGTGTATTTCCAATGATGGCAATTCATGTGATCTACCTAATCTTAGGCTAAGATTCATGCATAAAGTTTTGTTAAAGGAGCACATTGTAAAAGACTTCCTCTTAAATAAAATGTAAGGAGTTGGACCCAACAATCCTTATGGGTCCCTTCCAACTCAGGATATTCTATGGTTCTATGATTCTATAACTAGTTTAGGTGATTACTTTTTTTTGTTATTATTTATTTATTTACACTTTTCAGTCATAGGAATCTAGCCATACTTTACTAGCTGTATTGAAAAATCATATTCTTTTTCTCCCTCAGAAGTCCTTCAGTCAACAATCATTTTTAGAGCATTCATAAATGATAGAATATGATGCTAACTTCAACATAGTGTAACCCAGCTTTCAGTAAAGACATGCAGATGCAACCATACTGTAATCTTAAAATGAGATTCAGGAATGAGGACTGGAGTTTGCAGATTTGAGGTGTGTATTAGAAGTATTCATTCATTAATGACACAGGTGACTAGAAAAAATCAATCCCCAACCAATCATATTTTCAGACTACAAATGTCTCATTTACAATTTGATCATTTGACTTCAGTGTGTTCTTCATTTTTCAAATGATGCTGTGTTTGTGACTATATTTACGAAATTCAGAGAACCATAGAATCATTACTTTTAGAAAAGACCTCCAAGTCTCAGGCCCAAACATCGCCTTACCACCAATGTCACCCACTGAACCATGTCCCTAAGCACCATGTCCAACCTTTCCTTACACACCCCCAGGGGTGGGAACTCCCTGGGCAACCCATTCCAATGCCTGACCACTATTTATGAGAAGAATTAATGCTCTTTAGTTTATGAAGACTAGATGAGGAACAGGATTTAAGAATTACCTAGGCTAGATATCCCAAAGAAAGGTTGCTGTCTAAGAATGGGAGCTACATTGACTGATGAACCACCTGGCCATCTAATAAGATATACCGCGGACACAGCTTAAATCACTGCATGTTGGAAAAGTTGAGGACCAAACTTTGGTTTGAAAAAAGGGAAACTGGGTTTCCTTCATCTAAGTATTCTCCTAAAGTCAACTGTTTTTAACCAAGTGTAGATCAAAGAAGACACCTGTCCTAAATTTTTTCCAGTACCATGGGTGAAAGAACTAAGTGAAGACAATTATAATATTGGCCCTATTCAGCTTTGCACGGAGTAACTGAATATCAGCTAGGTCAGAGAGGTCATGGCTCTTGTATGTGTAATAATTTATGAATGAATTTGGGAAGGGTGGTTCTGTCTTCTAGCTCGATTCAGTTCTCTAAAGCAGAATTTCACATTAAATATTTATCTGAAATGATAGAAATGAAGGATTTTTTTCACTCGCAATTCTCCTGTTACTAATTATGAAGGCTAACTAAGGCTCTTCTTTTGCTCTTTGACTCAGATAAAATTGAACATTGAATTAGGCTATTGGAAAGTGAAACATCTTTATTAAAAAGAATTAACTTTTTCTAACCTACTAAAGTTGTTTCATTTTTCAAATGCCTGAGAACTTGTAGTTAGAAGGTAGAAAGTAAAGGGTAGGGTCTTCATCTTGCTGACACTGCTTTGTCATTGAAGCAGGCTAACCAAAAGAGAAAAGACTGTGATTTTCTCCGAAGACCTAACCGGGACCTGACCTCTGCAAACTTTTACCCTGATCAGGCTCTACAGAGTATGTGGGCAATAATACTAGCTTTTGGATCTTGTTAGTGTGCTAGGTGTTCAGCATTAACAAAGTATCGAGACTTAGACCTGGGGATGCTCAAAAACAGGCATTTAATCCCTTTTTAAACATTTCTAATGAAAATATAAGTACAACTCTAATTTGGCTGCAGTTGATCAGAAGTTCAGAAGATCCGAATTCCTGATTTTTGTATCTAGTGAAGCAGTCAGGGAATTGTCTTCTCCTGGTTCTGCTCTTTGTATACCACAGTTACTAATGCTAACTTATGTTCACTTAGTCCTAAATTTATTTACAAACAATATGAAGTGAAATTTATTTTTATAGAGAACCAATATGCTATCATGCCACCAAGATTCAGAGTCCTGCATCTGTGTATTTTATACCCACCATCTCTATAAGAAAAGAAAGATATTACAAGCTAGGACAGTGAGGAGGGCAGGGCTGTTCCAAGGAATTTTCAAAAGCATTTCTAATAAGTGCACAAATTCTTACAACACTATCTTAGAAAAGTTTTGAACTTAGAAATATTTTTTCTAAGTTCTGAAGAACTGTACATAAGTTCAGTTATTTTGGGCTATTCTAACCAGTAGACACATCTAAAATGGAGAAAACATAAATGCTTATGTTAGACCTTCACATTTGTTATCTCTCTAGAAAAAATGCAGCTCCCTACAATAAATTAAGAACACACATTCCCAAGCTTCCTTAGTTTGAATTTCCTCACGTGATGCCTAAGATTGTGTGCAATATAAACCCTCCCATTCTGATACCTTTCCTTTCCCACGATGTTCTTACATACACGTCACCTGCTCCTGCTTTTTACATTTTTACTCACAGTTGTTACTGTTGTGTGTTTATCCCTGTGTCTATTTCTTTGTTTCAATGTCTTTTCATGCTCATTTCTTCAGCTCATTTCTTTTCTTCTTCTGTAAGGTGCATGCAGCTCTAAGAATGCTAGAAAGAACAACATAGTGTTCTTGGCTGCAGACCCGGTTAACCACTGTTTGTTTTGGACATTTCAGTTTCTTTCATTTTGTTTCACATCTATGCTAAGTGCAAGGGTAGTGGAAAAGTTGAGCTCTGGCTCTTTACACTGCTAAAATCAGATATACTTGAGTACACTGCTGGTCTGTTGTAACAAGATCACCCTGAAAGCAAGGTCTGAGAATTTTTCCAGTTCCATAGACCATATCAATTTATTTACATGAAAGCAGCAGAGAAAAACTGTTTCATATATATATATGCATATGCATTATATATATATATATATGTGCATATATATATAATCTGTATAACTTTTCTTGTTCTCTTAGTGTTCTCTTTTGTTCTTAGCCATTATTCACTCTTCCAGCTGTCCCAGACACATCCCAGTATATATAAACAGGACTTTAAAAATGTGGAGATCATTCACACAGCAGTATGATCCACATATTATCCCATTCTGTATTGGTACATTCACAGCAAGCTATCCCTAAAAGATCAGATCTGTCTTTATTGAGTGTACTGGGTTGCAGCTGACAGTCCTGCTTCCAAACAATATATGTAACTCCTCAAAAAGTCTTACAAGTTCACAGTAGATTAAAAGGAACTTCTGCCATCCCATATAGCTAATAAATAACAGGGTCATCATTTCTTTCAAATCAGCCAGCCTTAAAATATCTATAGACTAAGCTAGATATAGGAATATATGAAATAAGATGTAAACTAGACTAAAGGAAGAGCCCTCAGAAGAAAAATTTAAAGTCAACTGAAAAAAAAAAACAAAAACATTCTATTTGCTAGACTAAAAAAAGCAGTGTGACAAAAAAAAACCTTAATTTGAAGCATTGGAACCCATTTAAAAATCTGCTGCAGTCTTCCACTCTTGCTTACCTTATTGTGCCTGCTACTGTCTCTACTTCCACCCAGCTGAATGCTAGAAGCAGCTCTGCTACAGCCAATTTATTGCCTGAACACATGGCAGGAAGCCAAACCTTGTGATAAAAGAGAAGTCTGACGTAGACCCAATCTTTTACATCTTTACATCCACTCAATTAAATCAATATTTTTTTTCTGTCCTTCTCTGGTGAGGTAATTCTAGGACTCTGGAAAATAGCAAAAACAAATTTTTAAACTTTTATTTCTTTAAGGAGCTGTAGAAGCTGTCTTTGCTGGAACTTCGTGCAATTTTTTAGCCAGTATTTCTGCATAGTGCTTGAATATCTCCATAAACACTATTCAGATGTTCTATGTCACTTGTGTTGTTACTATCTACTGTTCCTTCAAGGGCTGACTGAAGGGCAGATGGTGGGTTTCTGGCAATATCGACATATTAAAAGTAGGAGTGAAGCCTCAGTTTCAAGGAGCTTAAAACAAGTTAGCTGCCTAAATATTTTACCAGCTATTCAAAGGGTTTTGTAGTTCATTGTGCCAACTGCAATAATTGGACTGCTTCCAACATAGAAGTGAACTTGTTTAAAGCGGATGTGCTGTGTTTATTTGCCCATAAAACCCAGATATTTTTTTTTGTCATAAAAGAATTAGCTCTATCAATTATCACATCAGTTACGTGCAGTAAATTTATCTTTCTACATTCCTATCCCTTCACTCACCTATCAGTCCCCTCTATCCATACACATAGATTTGTCTTAATGCAATCTTTGCGTTTATAAAGAAATGAATCAGACATTTATATGTGTCACTGAAGTAATGAAACTCCTCTAAAAGCAATTGCTACTTCCTTTTTGGCAGTTTTCTTAAAATCAAGATTGAGCAAATCTGAATGAAGTTACTCTTTCCATCTAGAATTTGTATACTGTGTCAAGAAAATTCTCAATTTAACCTGTATTTGGTGTAGCAAATACCTTTCTTAGTTCGTTAAGCCCCCACCGGACTCTGTAACTATACCAGGTCAGTAGAAAGACTTTGCTAGAAGATATACTTAACAACAAAGCAATGTGAAACTTCAAAATCTCAGGTCTTTGTCTATCACTCAGGCAGACATGCAGACACTGAAATGCGGGAGTGATTCTAAATGTCATGGCATAAGACCATCATTTCAGTGCAGGGTAAATACAATGAAAAATATAGCAAATGCATTTTTAAAAACATATTTGTTTATTTATTTATTTTTGTTTTTATTTTTTTTTTTCCAAAGGCTGTACATGGGCTGGATCTGATGAAGCTTGCAGCATCTATGTTTGTTGTTATAGAAGAGATGGATCCAGGTTGCAAGATGCAGACTGTATGTCATGAGAGCCATTCTGGCAGGCTGTGTCTGACTCTGGGCCCCAAGTTATGGGACCAAGTGAAGTGTTTGTGCTCTCTACAGCCACAGCACATAACATTTTTTGATTTTATATAAATGAACGTACAACCATTATCATGCACTACACCAACACTACTGTAGAGTAACTGAATAATAACATATGAGATCAGCAGCCACAAAAAGAAACTATTTTAAATTACTTGTAATTGATACAAGGTAAATTAAGTCATATGGATACTAAGGATGTATCAACGTTGTAGCTGATCTTAGTATTTGCAATTCATTTTAAACTTTTTTTTTTTTTTTTTTTTTTTTTTTTCTTGTTTAGTCTGTAATTGGGAATGCCATTGATCATTTCTGGATCTGAAAGACTCTGAAGAGATCTGCTAAGTCCACATCAGTAGAGGTGTTCAATAAGAAATTGAGGTTTTAGTTTAGTCTACCCCAGACCTTTTGCAACAGTATTTCTCCTGTGCTGTTCTTATGCTCTTGTTAATAATCTGAGAGACTTGCAACTGACAATCCCAATACTGTTGTTACTTGCAGGTCCCACAGAAAGCAATTGCCTTTCATGTTGGAAACACCCTTTCTTCTCCTTCCTTTACCTGCCATCTGGCTGCAGCTTCTGCTTTGCACTACATGGCCCAAAAATCACATTTGCAGGAAGCTCAGCAATGAATCTGCCCTGCAGCACCTTTCCCACTCAACACATGCTCCCATCAGCAATGACTATTACATCATAACTACCGTATCACACGCAGAAACACAAATGGGAAATTTGTGCAGATCCTGATGAAAACTATTGAGTTACTGTGGGGGAAGTACTATGAGGAGAAACACCTGCTCCAGTGGGAAGGGTGCCTAGGGCAGGATACTCATCTGGATAGCTGCTGGGGAGCATTTTTCTATTCTCTCTCTGGCTCTCTCTCCCTTCCTCCATCTCTCCCTCTTTCTCCTCCTTGTGCCTATGTCCCTCCCCCTTCCTATCTGTCATTCCATCTCTCCCTCTTGTTTCTAGTTCTCTTATTTTCCCACAGCAGTAGTTTCATCATTACAGTCAATGTGGTTCATCAGCTGTGGACCCCACTAATAAACCTTCATTCACATGTACTAAGAACACTTTTTGTATCCCTACAGTTGCAATACTATGTCCAGTCCATCACTGGACATATCTTCAAATTCAAATGAATACTTCAAAACAAATTATATTAGAAAAAAATAACCTTTAGTAAACTGTTCATATTGAGGAAAAACTTCAACAAGATTACTATAGAATCAGTATGAGTATTAATATAATTATTAGTCCCCCCACCCATTTTTTTAAAGCCTTTTAACAAAAGTTCTTATAAAATCCTGCTAAAACACTACAATTTATGTTATTAGACCAGGTAATGTTAACTTTTTTATGGTTGCCTAAGACAGCTGTGAAAACAATGACTTTTCAACAATGAAAAAAAAAAAAAAACAAAACAAAACTAGTTTTAGCTACATTAATGAGATAGAGGAAGACATGGGATGATAGCATGATTTATTTATTTTTTTAAGGTAAAAGGGCAATCATCTACAGAAAGTCAATATTTGCTGTAATAAAAAGTAGGAAAAAATTTATTGCTACAACATGCTTGAATAATATTGAGCATAAAGTAAATATCAGCAACTACATTTTAACAGCCAATAAATTTGCAAAGAATATGCAGGTGAAATAACTCAAAGTCTCTCAAACAGCAACAAAATTGACATATAGGCAGTGGACTGTACTAGAAAAAAGATCAGATATAAAAACTTATTTTTAAACATGACTACAGTGTATTGACAGATTTACACTGGGGAAAAGTTTGATGACAAATAGTGCCATTCTAAATAAAGCCTATCCTAAACATTTTCAGTGAAAATGATTGAAAATTTTCAAATAGATGTGAAATATAGCAATTTCAGATTTTGGAGACAAGAGGTTAAAAATACTAGCTCTAGTTCTGAATATAGAATTTCTAATATAAAGCTTAGTGATTTATCAGAGAATACAGGTTATATTTTCATTATACTAGGATGTATTAATATTTGTATCAAAAGTCCATGTTTTCTTCACATTGAAGTATTTTCTCCCCCAAAGTCATGAAGACACCAGATTCAATATATTTAGCAGCTTGCTGAAACAAACTGACAGCAATATAGAAGTACATTTGTTTCTTGGAAACTGTAGGTTTTTTTTTTTATATATATTTTAAGTACATCTTAGCATTAGCATGTAACAGTCAATTTTATCTTACTTCATATCCTGTTCACATGGCATGCTAAAGACATATATAGGGCTTAACTGAGGCTGCTGTCTCCTATCTATTGCTCCCAGTACTTCCAAACTGTCATTAAGTAATTCTGTTTTACTCCATGGTGAAATTTTCTACTAAAAACTTTAGGCACATATTTAAACCTCCGTGTGTTTCTCGATAGAACAAGACTACCGACTTAGTAATGCCTATGCTGACAACTGCTACAGAGAAACCTCTGTTCTTAAAAACACACAAAAGTGAAAAACAGCATGGTATAAATGGAAGCTATTTTTGCTCCAATGCCATTTTTATATTTTAAATATTTCTCAAAGTCTGGAGTTCTTGTACTGGATGTAATTGCAATTGTTTCTTACTCATTATAGGTTACATCATTTTTGGTGTTTTCATGAATTATAGAAGGCTGACATCGCCTGAGTCAGAAATCATGAGAACT